ACTTACGTGTTTTTAAAAAGGTCAGCATTTTCACCCGGCGACAAAGATTCACGCGAGACGCTTAGAAATACGAGAAGCTGTTGACGAACAGTGACGTCGGCCATCGGCGCTGCGCTGGAGCCATGACCGTCGAAGGTGCTCTCCAATTAACCCTGTTAATCAGCTCTTATTCCTGCTCAAATATACCCCGGGAAACTCCGTCGCATATTAATAATGCAGGTTGGACCGTGGAACTAAATACAGAAAATTTAGAAGAGTGTCAAAACCAGCGCAGGAGACAGTTAAACACCCTAACACAATTTAAACTTCAATAAGAGAAACTCGAAGCTCGACGGAGTGACTCCCGATCAGCTGAGATTACTAGCCATCAAAAGCAGCCTGTCAGAAGCGTTCATGCAAGTTTCCGATGCGACCGGTGTACGCGAACTTGACTGCGGCCCACCAATGCAAGAACACAGGCTTTCTAAGTAACATGCTGTAGCTAACTGCCTAATGTGGGAGGGAGAGGGAGGAGGAGGAGGAAGAGACTCCTGCGGCGACGGTGAGTAGATGGTTCTGATAGTTGTTAGGAAATGCAGGCAGTCTGTGTGTGGGTTTGAGTGTACAGTGTAATGTGACCGACCGCTTAGATAGATTTACTGTCCGTTTTGTGTGTGCAGGTGATCAGGACGAAGTGTGCAAGTACTCACCGAGTAATCCCGAGTCGAAGGTAAGCCTGCTTGCCCCGAATGCGTGCTGAAAATCAGCTGAGGTGTTGACCTATTTTTCGTGCATTTTAGGACTCCTCAGTGGACAAATTTACAAAGTCACGCCTTTTTGCCATCGACAGCAAGTCGAAGCCACGACTCCTGGTTTTACGAACGCCGACCTGATTGATTGCCTGTGAACTTCCTCAAGTCCTTACCCGACGCTGATATGCTTTCTTAAATATAACCGTGCTGACGTTCAAACCTTTGAGACTGCAAATCCTTGTTCTGGTTAGGTAAAATAAAGTCGTTCGACTGCCCTGACTCGGTTGTACAAGTCTACAAGACGTAGTCGATTTTGGAGCGAACAGCGTGAGAATTGACTGGTCGATGTGTCTGTTAAGGTGAATTTACTTCAATGACTTACATGTTGAGTACCTCATGTGTTTAATGTAGTAGAGTCCAATTTCGGAATGAGGTCATAAAATGCATCATGGCCGCACATCGAGCTGTGTTGGCAACACGATTTCTACATAATTGGCAGGATTTATAGGAAGATGGGGGCAATATTCTGAAATGAAGGAAAAGACCTTTTCTATTGAAAGGGAATACCTTGGAATCGCACGGTCCAGCATTGAGCACGCGATACCAAAAACAAGTACTACAATTTTGGTCGCAGTGAGTGTTACTCGAACTAGCTAGTAAATGTCAAAGTTCACAGCAGACACTTTAACAACCATCTTTCCGGCTAGCAAGGTGGTGACAAACGGTTATTAAATAAGGCTTTTGATAGGCCAATCCTTACTATTACATTCAATTAGGCTTTCATCAAGATGGAAGCGGTTTTTAGAATGGCAATTTTATTGCACGCCGCTTGAAAGCTCAACTGGTTACAGATTGCGTGAAGGACCTTTAATGCTCAATTATTTACAGGCTATTTCAACCTTAAGTGAAGTTTTTTCATTCCCTTTCTTTACGAATACCCTTGGGTGAAAAAAAAGCTAATTGGTTTTATACTTACTAAAATTCCTAGTACGTCTTTTACCTAATTATGTGTCACTGGTGATGTCACTAGACCCATGGGACTACTGATACATTGTATTTATTTAAAACATTTCTGAAGCAATTATTCTATGACAGCCGTTGTTTAGGGAAAAAGAATTATGCCAACGAAGGACTGGTCCTAGTCACGAAACATTAAAAAATCTCGGATTAATCCCAAAAGTACCTCACAAATTTATGTTATACAGCATTTGTTTCAGAGCTGCAGTTACCAGTTACAAAGTATTGCCAACGCGGAAGGAAAATTGCGCTAATTTAAGTCACTACGATAGCACTGACGCAAATAAGTGAACGCGCTTGCTGACTGATGGCAGAAAAGCTAAGGGAATTTAGATACTTTAAGGGTAGCAAAAAAGAAATAATATACTATGCTTGTAGAAAAAAAAACAGTTTAAACTCTGCGTCAAAAAAAGTAGAAAAAATTATTGGTTTGCCAAGCAAGACGGGCTGACTGATCAGCAACAGAAATTGCACGAATAATGAGTACCAATCATGCTGTGTAACTGACTTCTAACCACACTAGCGTGACATTAAAAGAGATATTTAGGTAACAACCTAGACAGCTAAACACAACGGCAATACGACAGAAAAGGGTCACTTGTGCCAAAACCTGAAAACGCGGCGTTGAGACAAGGTCAATTAATATATTTCGTTCATCCAGATAAACAAAACCAAGGATTTTTCCATTCATTATAGATTATTATAACAGTAGTCAGCTAAGAAATAGTTAATTAAAGTATGAGCGTTTGCTACATCTACAGCCCAAGAAATCTCAGATGAAAAAGATTGGCTAGAGCAATAATTGCTTAATAAAACGATTTGGCAAAATAAAGGCTATTCGAAAACAACGTTATAGCAGTAACATAAATAGCTTTAACGACTTTTCGATTACTGCTGCATGTTTAGGCCATCTGCGTACGAATCCATAATGCCTTCTGTTTGTTTTTCACTATATGTACCAAAGTACGTTTCAAAATTATATGCTAATAATTTTCAAACATTGACTAGATGGGCTACCTAAAACCCCCTTTTTAAAATTTTTCATATCAAAAACTTTTGCGAGTGCTCCGGTGTGCCAGTGACAACTGCTTTGGCTTCCTTTGGGCAACGCAACGCAGTGAAGTGGACTGGACTGGAGCAAAAACAAGAAAATCGAGAATGTGGGAGGGAGAGGGAGGAGGATGAGACTCCTGCGGCGACGGTGAGTAGATGGTTTTGATAATTTTCATGCGTCAAGGCAACAAATTGAGTAAATGCTATTGTAGGTGTCGATATTTGATGTGTATTTGTGTGGAGTCTACTGAAAAAGGAATTGTCTGATTAAGTAGAGGCCTTACACGAGGGTTTCTGAGCTACATATCACATTCTGCAAGTTAACTCGATTCATGCAACACGTCAAAGTATTTAAGGAACACGGAATCGTCCTTCGGAAATTTCAGACGCCCGTCCTGACTGACAGGAGATTGGATGCGTGAGTCAGTGTCTGCACAGCCGCATCGCCTCCTACCTTGCCATCAATTCACATGCCGATAGCCGTTGTTTCCGTCTCTCGTACCTTCAAGCACGTGATCTTGGAATGGGCTTGTGTGTGCGTGCCACAGTGCGCGTAGCGACGCGCAGCCGCACTAACAAACGACTTCGCCAACCACGATTGGCGCCTTCTTCACAAACGCTAAACAGTGAGACGCCACTGCTGCCATATTCGCCTTGCCTCGTCTCGGTTCCGCCTCTCTGTTCACACAGGCACGTATTTTCGTTGCAGAAATATGGAATCAACCAACAGAATGACCTACTCGGAGCAGATGGTCAGCAAAATTGCCTTCTGCGCGCGCTTCGAAAGACTGTGGAGGCTACGCAAACTGCTTGACTTGCGAATCATCGTAGGTTCACATGGTTTGGCGTAACTGGTTGCATAGACCCGAGATGGACGTGAAATCGCCGCACACCGACTGGTGCTGGCGGCTCGATTTCCCAAAATTGAGGATGTCATTACGCAGGATGGACGAGACAGTCTGGAGTGGCGACGATTCGGAGAAGAGTAAGATCAGTTATTTCGGGAGAATACTCACGGTTTAGCATCGTGGAGGCCGTGGTCGCGTACGCTTACACCGGACGCGTTACAATATCCACGGAGAACGCTGCTCGTCTCTTCTTGTTGGCGACAAATCTCCACTGCTCCATCATCACATCATGGTGTATTGACTTTCTGAAACCTAGGTATGCTTGGTTGTCAATCAAAACCTGGCAATGATGTTTAGACTTTCAATGGAGAGCGTGGGGAGTATCTGGTCACTTGCAAATGCGACAATGAACTATGATCTCGCCAGTGCATGCGTACCAGTGATAACTGCCAGCTTCGAAACTATCTGCCGTCGCGTGGATTTCTTCAGCTCAACTGAGCCACATTACCTGGCCATGCTCCTTTCGCGGGGATGTCGCCTAGGCGAAGTCGATGAGACGTTGAAGCTGCGCGCCATCTCCTCCTGGCTAGACGCCGCACCCTCTGCAGAAGACCAGAAACTTCGGGCTGACGTATTTGAGCGTCTCCTTTCAACAGTCGACCTGAAAAAGGTTTCTCGTGAATTTGTCCTTGACCTCTCTGCTTCAGGATGCGTACTTAGTCGTTCGGAAGAATGTAGGTACGTGTTCTACTGGAATCCCCTATTTTATATTCCACTTGTGCTATTTCGATTCGTTTATTTTAGAGAGCACCTCACTAATGCTCAGAGTGAAGCCTGGAAATGCTTCGACGCACCAACTGCGGTGTCTCTGAAGCCTTGTGCCGACCACATCACCGGTGGGTGAGTCTGCCCTAAATCACTGTGGACTGCTGGTGCACGCTCATGGTAATTGTGTCCCTAAAATTAGCTTCACACGGAGAGGAAACATCACCGACACAATCTATGCACTCGGGCGGGACAGAGAGTCGTCCGACGTCCAGGTAATCGTGAAGCTGCCGCCGCCGCAGCTGCAGGCAGACAGAAATGTCAGCGTCCGAGTGCCGTATCGAGACGCCTGCGCGGTTGCTGTCTTTGATGGTGAGTTTGCACCGTCTGCCTTGCACTTTGTTGGCAGACGTTTGTGCTTCTTGCGTTCATTATATAGATAGCATCTACATGCTTGGTGGAAGTGACGATAACCGTGACGCGACGAATCAAGTTGATCGAATAAACCCCCTGGATGGTAGCGTCTCCAGTGTACCTTCGATGACACTGCCCCGACGACGTCCATCTGCTGCCGCAACTGACAGACACCTTCTGGTCTTCGGTGGAGATAACGGTTTGTGGCTGGCATCCTGTGAAGCATTTGACTCCATCACCAACCAGTTAGTTTGTGTTCTACTTGTACTTGCGAAGGTTCAAAACTTTTTCATTTCAGTAAATCATCTTTGCCATCAAGGTGGACGGTGCTGCCGGACATGCCGACGCCACGGTCAGCAAGTGCAGCGGTGAACGTACCTGACGTGGGTGTCGTCGTAGTCGGTGGGTGGGACGCGAGTATGCGTTTCTCCAACAGAGCGGAACTGCTCGCTGGCAGTGTAGAAGGGGAGAACGACTGCTCCTGGACCCGTCTGGTCTCCATGCTCGACGCACGGCTCTGCCCCGCCGTGGCCTTTTTTCAAGGCCGTGTCGTAGTCGCAGGAGGAAATGACTACGGGAGCATCACCTTCGAGTGCCTACCACTGAACCCTGGTGGCCCTCATCCCGGTCAGTGGACGAGACTCGCTACGCCGCAATTGCTCGACGCGTGGCCCCTTTCTCTGGCGGTATTTCGAGAGCGACTGCTCTTAGCAAGTGGGTTGTCATCTCATAATCCCTATTTTCATTGCATTTTGGCACTGTTAGATTCACCGTATTCTGCACCCGTTCGCGTACTTGGAAGTTGCCATTTCACACGTGGCTCTTCTTTTCTCATTTCATATTTAGAAGCCGATGGTGAAGTATGGGAGTGTTTTCCAGCCCCAGGACCAAGCGAAAGCCCCTCTGCATGGGTAATTTTCGATTTCGCAATCACCATTTGGTATGCCTTTCACATTTTAGGGCTCGTCCTTCGACGAATCGTCGTGGAGACCACTATTCAAAGTCGAAAATATTTCCAAGCCAAAGCTTTTAGTGTTACCGCAACTAAGCTAAGCCCGTTGTACACTCTTCAGTTGAATGAAATAGACTATGTAAAGCTGGAATTTGCAATGATTTCTCGTTCTCTTTTTACTTAAATGGAATAATGGAACAAGTGTATACCTTCCAAATTTCGATGAAAAAGCACGACTTGTTCGACAGAGGGAAAAGGTATGGTGCTTCTGAAAAAACCAAGAATTTGGCCATCTTACACGACGTTTACTCTTGAAATATTGAATGCATGATTTACGCACCTCCTAGTGGAAACCAATGAGCAACTTGACTTTGATCACACAAAATTGAGATCTCTTCTATGATCTAGCTAACTCGGAAAATTTTTCCAACAAACTATCGCACATTGTTAATTAGGTACAGCATATCTTTCAGAAAAGACAGGTTTGAACGCATTTCAGAGACGAAAAACGTAATAACTTTGGCTATCTTGCTACCATCAAGGCTACAATCATCACGCACTTTTGAAAACTTGGTTATAATAATAGAAACAGGGTATAAAAGAACAAGGCAAAGTTGAGAAGACATTTTCAGATTAGAGAACAAGCAGAGATATGTTGAAGAGAATACATACTGTACGCTCAAAGCATAGGTCAATCGTCATCTTCAGGAACAAATATATCATGTTCTTCAAGAAATGCAGCACATTTCATGCTTATACAACCACCGAGGCATATAAAAGGAATGGCAATTCCCAAGGATTTCCATGTGCCGAAGCTATCCGTAATTGGCCGTTCTCGAAGGGAACCACTAAGCTAATTGCCAAATATGTATTAGCATGCGTGCATCATACTTTGTATGCTCCATCGAAAGAACAGGAGGATCTGGAGGAAACTCGACCCAACGTCTTGAGAACCAAAAGCGGGCGCATTTCACAACCTGCAGGCTAAGAAGCAACAGTGTGATAAGCTAGATCTAAAACGATATCCAATCGTATTAAAGGGCTGTGACCTCGGAAAAATGTCTGAAATCAATTCCTTTATGCAGCAATTACCAAACCTCGTAAATAATAAACAAAATGAACAGAAAAATATTATATTTATAGATAAATTTAACTTGGCGAATTTCTCGAGAATTGTATACATAGGCTTAATTTTTTTTGGCATGCATATTTCTAAAGATCAATGTTTAGTGTAGATGTGGCAAAACTGAAAGGACTGCAGCTAATATTCATTTTGATTAATAATTTCATATTTTTACTAATGACGCAGTTAAAAGGTGTGTTAATTTTATGTTGAGACTTCGAGGAACGCTTTCAAATTCAAGTTGCAAATGGCTTTAACCCTATTATTCGACACTCAAGTCTAGTAGATGTTTAGGAATAATATTCGATATGTACTTGCAATCTAATTTGCCTTTGTGGTGTAATGCTTCTTTATATTTATCCTGGAATTTCCTGTGAAGCTTTATTTTTCATTTCACTCATCTCTGATTGTTTTGGTACTTTATGAAATGAATTTAATGCATTGCCGGGCACGCGGGTAGAGTCTTGTGCTGACACAGACCTCCTGGCTCTATGCAGTTTGAGAACCATACCAGCCTCTGTCGAGCTGGCTGCCGGCGTCCTTAAGGTGTGTTGCATGACCTGACAGAAATGTTAAAACTCAAGTCTTTCTGATTCCAGATTTTGGTGTTCGATCGGCTTCTACTGCTTCTCAATTTATTTCACTTTACTATCGGCTGGTGAGACGAAAAGTGATTAACGCAATAATTAACCACCAAATAGCACGATATAATAGAATCTGCTTCTGAAGCGAATCCGTAAATTAACGCTGCACGACCACACTGACAGACAGGAAGCTAGGTATGTATGTGGTTGTGATTCAACTAAAATTGACCAAGTGCATGCCAACAAGAGGTTACCGAAGCAAATCGAACCAACTGATTTAGTTCCTCTTACAACGCAGTGCATGCATTACTGTGTTTGACGTTGCGACTCAGCCACTGGTCTGACTAGTACCAACTTCTACCAACCATAATTTTGAAAATTTGTTTCAACTCAACTATGACTAAAATGGACATCTGCGCACGTCGAGGACAGAACCGTTGACAACAGACCAAATTGAAAAGTCAAGCCTGACACTGCAGAGCAAACATCAGTGGCATTAAATTGAAAATATAGGGGGGGAGGCGGGGGAGGGAACATAGCGGACGAGGTTCAACGCTGTCACGTTGGCAGTTGGAAACGGGTTGCTATCGCTCTGAATACAAAAACACACACATGTCCACAGGTTGGTATCACAGAAGAGGGCTTGGTAAATCACGGACAGGTCTTCGACTCGTCTGTCCGACTGAGGCAGAATTCACCGCTCATTCGGCTTGCAGTGTTGGGCGGCTGATGCGGCTGAGCAATGCAATAGCCACCCTCGAGAGGGGTCAGCAAGAGGGCATGGGTGGACCAGGGCAGCTCCCCCAGGGACCGACGCAAAGGCCGGTGGGGAGGGGCAAGCTCCGCCGCGATCAGTCCCGCCGACGACACTATCGAGGTGCGCTGGTGGTGGCTGTGCGGCTGGTGGTACGCCGACTCACGGTCGGGATTGGAGGCGCTGATGCCTTGTCGGTCGGCGCCAGAGGAATTGTGCAAATGAGTCGAGAGGAAGTCCATCGAGTTGGGGATTGCCAATGCTGGAGACGTGCTGACACCTTCTAAATTCGCTTCCTCGTCAACGCATCCGTCAGACGGAAACGGGTGAGAGTTGTGCTAAAAAGGTGCGGAAGACAGTGAAAACACCGATAAATTTCAGATTATAGGAACAGCATCTTTCTACGTAGTGGCGCGAAAGAACGTGACTGGACAGGAGAGTCGTTAAGATCCAATGGGCAAAAAGGGAGATCCATACACCCTGACTGGACTCACGTGTTCGGTTGTGAGGGAGTGAGAGACGGCAAAGCAGTTATTGAGGGAGATGGGCAGAATGGCCACAGGCAGCGCTGCCTCGGAGGCGTCATCTTCCACATCATCGTTCGTCTCCGCCGCCTTTGCCGATGTCGCCACTGTCTCCTCCATCTCAGATGGCTGCTCGTCTGAATCGGCCACCATCTTCTGCTTCTGTCTGTAGTGGGCTAATTGCTTTTGGGTGGGGATCAGAAAGCACGACTAAAAGTAGAAAATGCGGATTGAGGTAGGTGTGTGTTTGTTCCCGTGGTCTGGGTGTGAACAAGAAACAATCAGGCACCAACACAACTCCGATCCGCCTGTAAATTCAAGCTGCTGGCAATGTTGCTAGTAGCCATGATAATACACGCTGAACTGTGAAAGTGGACACACCTGCGGTGGCGACGTTGACTCACCTTGAGGGCAGGAATGATTGAAATAAGCAGTTCGGCGAGGGGAAGCATTGCGAAGGAGAGGAACTTGACCTGGCAATCAACCAGATTCGACTTGTCCATCACTGGAGACAACGGCAGTCCTGACACACGCTCGAGGTCACGCTAACAACACGACAAAAGGAGGACATTATATTTTTAAAAAAACACAATCCATCCACCGACAGTAAAGCAAAAACCCACTAAGTCACGTTATGTTCGCGACAACAAGTGATTTATCAGATATGAAGATCGCCATCATTCGCACCTATGGTAAGGCACGGTGCGTCGAAACGAGCAGGAATTCCACCAATTAAAACACAATCGCCTCAAGGTCACATTCTAGCCTTGTATAGCACACATTTGTACCCTGATGTCTATCGACCATCATCGTCACAACAGGCAACGCCGTCTAGCTGCCTCAATCCAGCCGAGTCCGTGGCCCAATTTCTGACACGACCTACCACGCGTGCGAGGAGAGCGGCGATAACACAAGTGCCATGCGGCGACAACAACTACACAGGCAGGAGCTGATTCACGCCTCACGCGAGAACAGGCCTAATGAACAGAGTCGTGTATTCACACACGTGTGCCACGACACACCAGCAAGCACGTCCAGTGGTCCGCAAACCGGCCGCGTTGCACCATGCGGGATTTCTGGCTCCTCGCAGCGAAGTGCGTCACGGTGTGGAGTCGTTTCGTGTGAGTGTGTGTGTGTGTGTGACAAGAGCAGAATGGTCAGCTTGAACGCCTCAATCGAACGCCAGTGTGTTTGACCGTGAGCAGGCTGAACTGGAAGTTGTGGGGGAGGAGGGAAAGGCAACTTGCATCGGATGCTGGTGCGCCAACGTCGACTCGAGGTGTCCCATTGGCCATCACCGCTGTTGCTCCACCAGGGGGCTCGGTACCACACTCACACCCGACAGTTGTTGGTTGATTGGGTGTGTGCGGTGGTTTCGGCAATTGCCACCGAGGCCTGTCGCGGATACCTCAACATGCAGTCCCGTTCGTCCGCTGAGTGACTTGGATGTTTAGCTACTTCGTGGTGTGAGTGATGCACTTCGCGCAGTGGCGGTGCAGCACTTCACGTCGACATTCTCAGGCACCTGTTTACCACGACCACACGTAATAAACAAATCTCGTCAAGGTGGGCATCGCGACTGCCAGTCTGTTTACTTGGCACGAGGACGCACCACGTGGACTTTTGAAATCGGTGGCTCGTGCACACTTCAGGCTGGCCTTCCCATGCACAAACACACATACACACACGCACAAGCGTAGGGACAGAGAGAGAGAGAGAGGGAGAGATCTGCAGAGCTGAGTTTACCCGTGTTTTCAGCCGCCTCGACCTCTCCGAAATTGACAGCAATGGTTGGTAAACCATCGTTTGCGTGAGTGAGGTTGAATGACCTCGTGGATACTCCATCAACCACCCCCTTATCCACACCGTGGGTTCGAGTTGGATGCCTCAGAAGAAGAAGAAGAAGAAGGAGGAGGAGGAGGGAAGCTGGAGAACCAGATGACGCAGCAGTATTGACACCATCTATGCACCTCAGTGCAACACGACA